AAAAACAAAAAAAGTTTTGTTATTTAATTGAATTCCATCGAAATTCATTTTTGTTGGAATTATTTTTATTTTCATTATTTTTTATGATAGGATTAAGAAGTAACAAAAATAATTAAAAATGATTGAAAGGGAAGAAAATTAACGGTTATTTAATATTTGATTAAATTCTGTTTAAATTATTCGTGATGGGTTTGGGGCCAGATTATTTATTTACCCTGATTTAACGATCTTCCCTATTCTCCGATAATTGAGATCGCTCACGTGACTTACCTGATATATCTGGTTACTAGCCTTGCCGCAGTTGGTGTGTTTCGAGAGAGCGGGGCCGCATGGTCAGTGGGGGTTGGTGTTACCTTTGTCCGACTATTGCTTCGATATCACGCTCGGTATTGGCTCGACATCGACATATTTCAGGTTCGGTAATAACTCGGCGTCCTTACGGTACAGGCCACTGCAGTTCGGGACAGTTGCCTCAGGTTCGGTGTTGATTCGGCGTTGGCACGACACTGCTCGATATGTGTCTCAGATTCGGGTTTAGTTCAATGTCGACATCGGGTTGCAGCGCCACGACACTACTACTTTGTGTGATCACTGGTTTGACGCCAAGATAGAATTCCGCGGTTTGGTACTTTTCCTTTGATACGGTCACTGGTCCGACATTGATGAGACTCGCAGCAGCCTGTTGCTACTATTTGGTGTTGTAGCTTGGTGTTGATTAGTGATTTGGATTTGGCTCAACGACAGTCTGGTTACGCTGGTTCAAGTTTGGTACGGTATACTGATTCTAGACAAGTTCGACGATGGTACCACTGCAGATTGGCCAATGATACGGCACAGGCAAGGTACTGCGGCAGCGTACTATGGCCTGTTCCTTTTCTTTTCAAGCTCGGTAACTGGTGATCAGGGACACTGCAACTTGACGTTGTTCATCGCTCTACTCTGGCTCGGCATTGGTCGTTTGTAGCAGTCCCGTGGATTTTTCCCTGGTACGGGACCTGCTATACGAATCTACCTGGCATATTTTGGTTGATACAGATCTCACTGGGCCTGGTGCCTGGCCCATTTTTTCCCAATACAGGCCACATAGACCTGGTACCGGGCCTGCTTTTGCCAATGCGGGGTAAACTGGCAGTCTCTTGAGGCCACGGCCTCTGGTACCAAGAGGATATAACGAGGATCAACTGGTCTGGTAGGACATTCAGACGGGGGCAGTCTCTCGCAGCATGCAAGCTGTACCCCGCCCACGTCGCTTATACTGATGATGTCCACGGGGAGCGGTGCACAGGCGGTTAGAGGACATTGAGACGGGGGGAGTTTTTCCGAAGCATGCACGGTGTACACAGCCCACCACTGCCAACGCTGGTTGAAGTCAACAGACACGGACAATGAACGGCGGCGAGTGCAGCAAACGTACCTGTCCGCGAGGCACTGAGGTTCAGTGCTGCTCACGGTCAACGGTAGCTATGGCGGCTGTGCAGTGTGTGAGAGAGAGAAAGAGTGAGACGGAGAAATTGAGGGAGTGAGAGGGAGAGACTGTGTGGGTGCGGGAGAGAGAGAGTGAGAGGAAGAGACTGTGTGTGTGCGAGAGAGCTAGAGAGTGTGCAGTTGAGTGAAGAGAGACCCGCAACAGTTGTGGATGATCAGATCACCCATGCCCATTGGCAAAGATAGCTACTACTGGGTAATGATCAGATCACTCGTACCCGTTGGTGAAGAGATACCGACAACAGTTGTGGATGATCAGATCACCCGTCCCCGCTGGTGAAGACAGCTATTTCTGCTAACGATCAGGTCACTCCGCTGGTGAAGAGGGCTACTACTGCGAACGAACAAATTGCCCGCATCACTGGCCTCAAAACCAGCCATTCCAAAGAAAAGAGAATTTGTGTGATCAGGTAAGTTGTACGTGAATGTCGATGGGTTCACAGACATGCGTACTAAAGGGAGATTTTGAAAACTTTGGGTGAGTGAGTAAGTTCGTGACTAAGAAAAAGAGAGTAAAGTAGAGAGAGAGCGTATAGAGAGAGAGAGAGAGAGAGAGAGAGAGAGAGAGAGAGAGAGAGAGAGAGAGAGAGAGAGAGAGAGAGAGAGAGAGAGAGAGAGAGAGAGANGAGAGAGAGAGAGAGAGAGAGAGAGAGAGAGAGAGAGAGAGAGAGAGAGAGAGAGAGAGAGAGAGAGAGAGAGAGAGAGAGAGAGAGTGCACAGATTGGGGGATGGTGAGGGAGAGAGAGTGCGCAGACTCAGGGAAAGTGTGTGAGAGAGAGAGAGGGAGAAAAAGGGAGAGAGAGAGAGAGAGCGAGAGTTAATAAGAGAGGGCAACGAGAGTGGTAGAGCAGGACCCCGAAGGACGATGGTGAGTTGTTAGTAGACCTGGGAGATCTCCTCGCTGCTCTGGGCCTTGTGAGTTGGCGAGCAAATCATCTTAGGGGAAACATCATTTTCGAGAAATTACTGAAAAGAGCCTTGATTGGCTCGCTGGTCAACTCATTTTCAGGAAAGTATCATTTTCGAGAAAATATTGAAAAGAGCCTTGCTTGGCTCGCTGCTCAAATCATTTTCAGGAAAGTATCATTTTCGAGAAAATACTAAAAAGAGCCTTAATTGGCTAGCTGCTCAAATCATTTTCAGGAACGTATCATTTTCAAGAAAATACTGAAAAGAGACTTAATTGGCTAGCTGCTCAAATCATTTCCAAGAAAGTATCGTTTTCGAAAAATTACTGAAAAGAATCTTGATTGGTTCGCCGATCTGGGCCTTGTGATCTAGGCCTTGTGAACTGGACAGCAGATCATTTTCGGGAAATACCATTTTCGAGAAATTATTGAAAAGAGCCTTGATTGGCTCACTGCTCTGACCCTTGGGAATTGGCCAGCAGATCATTTTCGGGAAATCTCGTTTTCGGCAAATTATTGAAAAGAGCCTTGATTGACAGACTGCTCTGAGCCTTGCGGACTGGCCAGCAGATCATTTTCGGGAAACATCATTTTCGTGAAATTATTGAAAAGTGCCTTGATTGGCTCGCCGCTCCTACCTTGTGGACTGGACAGCAAATCATTTTCAGGAAATGTCGTTCTCGGGAAATCATTGAAAAGAGCCCTGATTGGCTCGCTGCTCTGAGCCTTGTGAAATGGTGAGCAAAGCATATTCGAGAAAAATTGTTGGAAGAAGCCCTGATTGGCTTGCTGCTCTGAGCTTTGCGAACTGGTATGCAAATCTCTTTCGAGTGATCACCGAAAGGAGCTCTGATTGGCTCACTGCGCTGACCCGTGGGCTGGCTTACCGCCCATCCTCACGTAATCACGGTGGGGGGGGGAAAATTAATTATTAACATTGTCAAAAATTATCTCAATTTCTGACTATTACATAGCCGCACCCTCAACGTTGCCCTGCGAGCTGCCTTATCAATTGCGCGGGGGTGAGCTGATCCGAAGAGAACGCTAAGAGGATTGAACATTCCTGCGTGACACGGAGGGATGAATTCCGACCGAGATTACAGTTAAATTTTTGCAAAGGAAAACATCATAAGATGGCCCGTGGTTAAAGGCCAGGAGTGGCCTCGCTGAAAGGGGCACCCCTACCGGTCGCTGAGGACCTCGGAAGCGGGCGCAGCGAGTGATAGGCGCTGTGGCCCATGGCTTCAGCGAACGGTAGATGACCCCTCCCCGGGTTTCCTGACAACGCTTCAGCAGGGGTGCGAGGAGGTAGTAGAGAAGCCACAAGAGAAGTGTGAGTATGCACCCCCTGCGGATATCCTCGGAGGTAGCAGTTCGTTGGTACCGTTCACGGGCTTGCAGATGACGACGACGATGCGGCCAGTTCAACCGTGTGTGCAGGGGTCAGGTCCTGGGGAGGAGGCATTTGTTCAAGTACCAACGGTCATAGTCGTAGATTTAGGAGTTGAGGCACTTCTTCACACACCGGTTACTGGGCGGCGAGCTCCTCAGGATACAGCTCACCCATTGGATTTCGCGGAGCTCGCACGGGCTGCTGTGAGTGACGTGACGAGGAGGGAGGATACCGACCCTAGTAGACCACTTATGCCGCCTCCTCCTCCAAGATCACGTCACAACGATTCCCCCTCGACACCAGTCGGTCGGCCCCCCCGTTCACCATCCATGCCCACCAGACCCAGGGTTCATGACACGACGGCCGTAGGGAGCTTCCCTCTTGACACGTCGCTATTCGGGAGGACGGATATCGACCTGGACTCCATACGTCGGGTCACAGTGCACACTGCACGACAGCAACCAGGTTTGGGTGGGGCTGACACTGGGAGGGGTGCGCCGAGAGAGGTCATGGCGGCAGTATCTCAGCCACGAGATGTTCGTGGGGTTGGACAGGCCGGGTGTACCTTGCAAGCCGCTTTGGCAGCAGCAGCACGTGCTGTGCGTGAGCAGACATGAGTGGAGTCGCTCGTACGAGTTCCATGCCTCAGATAATGCCTGCCACGGGGGATGCCGTGTTGGAGGAGTCTTCTAGAGCCGAGGGGTTGGAGATGCCGTGCGGTTCTCGTCGTGAGAAGACAGTCACAGAGGTGACTCAGGTGAGTGCTAGGCTTGTTCGGGTGAGGACGGGGGCTGCCCATGTGACCGTGGTGGAGGACGATCCCGAGACGGAACCTGCACGTGAGGAGGCCCCACAGGAGGGTGATGAGTACAGGGACGACGAGGAGCGTGAGGAGGAGGAGAGCGACAACGGGGATGATGACGGCTACCACAACGACGACGACGAGCCCTCCCCTCCACCACGGCATGGTTCTCGTAGACAACGTGGCTCTCGTAGAGGACATGATGACGTAGACGACCCGTCCCCTCTAGGGCAGCGGGAGACGAGGAGTCGGAGGAGGCAAGGGTCATCCGTTGCGACAGCGCCGGGGCGAGGGAGTGTTTCATCGACACGCAGCACGAGTGGGGCAAGGTAGAGAGGCACTGGTAAGGGGAAGGGAGGTCGACGGTATTGACAGCTTCGTTCCCCTTCCAATGCTTCCACGACGCCTTTATGTTATTTGTGCTTAGTGTTCTGACGTTTTTGTATATTGTTTAGGATGATGTACATATAGTTACGTTTTAGGGACTTCGGACCAACTTATGGACTTCAGCATGCAAGTAGACTGGGTAGTGTCATTGACAGTGTTTGTTTGTTTCGTTTTTCGGTTTATGTACGGCGTTTTGATATTGTTTTTTAGTTATTGGGTTTTTGTTAGAGGTTGGACTTCATTCTAACTTGTCGTTTAACGTAGATGTTTGTTAGGGTTTTATTTTCAGCTTTGTTAGTTAGCGGTGTAGGCTGCATCCCATCGGTGTCTGGCCCTGTGCGACTCGGCACGAGTGTCGACGACACATTGTACCATGTGAGATGTATTTCATATTGGACTCCTATATGCGACTTCGCCGGCACTTCGACATGACTTTTGTATGACATTTTATGACTACTTTGTTTTCATTGTAGTTTCATGTTCTTCTATCCAGTTATTTTTGTGTGTGTGTGTGTGTGTGTGTGTGTGTGTGTGTGTGTGTGTGTGTGTGTGTGTGTGTGTGTGTGTGTGTGTGTGTGTGTGTGTGTGTGT